CTTTTACTAACAAATTATATTACTTTAAAATACCAGAACATAAAAAATTATAAGGTTAATATTTTAGGTACCTTAATCGTACTAGTTGCCCTTCTCATGTTATAATATTCCATTAGTAGTTTGATTTCGTTGCGCGTTGTATAGGTCCACCAATCATGCGGAAATTTCACATTGCTTTAGTATTTACACTGTTAGCATTGTCTGCTGCCATACGCAGAATCATTCTGCTACCTCCACGAATGAGTGGTGTCAGTTCAAATCTATTCAAGCCTCTTGTTCAATTATTTAGGTAGGAAACGATGACCTAATAACTTGCTAGAAAGCATGTAGAAAGTGAATATGAAAGGGGTGCATCCTTCTTTGTTTATTACAATGGCGCGAAACATGTGGATATAGTTGGTGGTTATGCTGATAGAAGGTTTTTTGCTCCATGGAATCGGGAAACAGTTACACATGTACCTGGAGCTTGCTCATTACCAGTGTGTTTCTCGTTTGCTCTTCTTAAACAGAGGTAAGGGCATCCTTTAATCAACAATATTTGGAATATTATTAACATCTCAGATAATGTTAATAAGTATATTAAGGGGTTTTCTCCCAAAAATGTTACAATCGCGCATGTTCTTACTCATCAAGTAATTTGCCTGTTTATACATCCTTAATCTTAGGCTGGATTCCCATATCTACACACTGACATATCTATGCTCGATTGGAGAGACGAAAAGCACTACTTTCTAGACAAAATTTCTAATAGTATTCCTCTGGTGTCACCAGGTTTAACTCGCTTTAAAATTAATATTCATAGGTGCTCAACCACACTACCATTTTATAACCCAGTATTTGTTGGCTGAAGAAATATTTCGTAGTATTTATCCTTCACGTTCCCTGTCTTCCTTTTTTATGGAGGAAATTGTTTACAAGATAGGTAAGGCTATTTTTTCTATTCCCAGGTGCCGATATACTTGTTGGACTACCTCGTAACCAAGTTTATCGTGTCGCACGCCCATACTATGCAACTTGGCTTGATAGATTTTTCAGATGTTTTTGTAATGTAGAATTGGATTTCTGCATTAGTTTGCTGTACGAAGCCTTCTTTATAATATCACCTTCTGTCAATAAAGGACTTTTGGTATTCAATGATTATAAGGTAAGTTCTCCACATTTTTGTATAGAACGATGATTTCTGGTGTGCATTAATAAATATAATAACTTCTTTCTAGTTTCAATTTTTCTTTAAATTTCTCTTTTCATATATTGTATTATTATCTTAATTGACGGGAGCTATTTTATTCTACTGGATTTTCCATATTCCATCAAGTAAGGCATACCGATATTAGCATT